GGCTGGGGATGGTGTAGCGGTCCGTCATCTCGCCTCTCTTCCCTTTGCTCCCAGGTCTGAGGCCGCAGACGACAAGGAACTGCTCTGGGGCTTCAAACCGGAGACGGGCACCCGGCGTAACCTCTGGAGCCGCGCTGTCGCAGACAGATGGCGTCACATCTACGAAGTCGTGCAGACTCCCGGTCCCAGGGCTCAGAGGCGGAAGCGGAAGTGTATTCTGTCACCGGACTGGAGTTGCCCAGGCGACGCTACCACTGGGCCGCCCCTATAGATAGCCCCGCCCCCTTCGCAGAGCGTTGCATCCTGGTCTAGTTAGTGGCCCTTTTCTAACAGGAGCTTTGCATGCTGGGACTTGTGGTCTCGGAGAGGTGGTGTGCGCAGGCTTCTTGGGACCCATGAGTGATATTTAAAAGACGGTGGGCAGCCTAAGGGAGCGCGGTGTCTGGGAGGTGTGAAGCATCCTCCGGCGGTTTGGGGCTGAGTGGAAATGAGAAACTCTAATAGGACAGGGCTATAAGCACCTGGGCAAATGAACTCTTGCTGTAATTCCGCTTTCGAAGCTAACGAGGCACAGTAGCCCCTTCACAACCAGGGGTGGACAACGTTGAAGTCCGGAGACGCGAGTTCTGGTGCCAACCAAGTATCTTATAAGTTGTGTGGAAAGTTATTTCAACGCTTGCAGGGCCGCCGTTTCCTGCCTGGTGACAAAAGTACAGCACCAGTTCCGGCACGTTCCGGCGCCTACATCAAGCCCCTCCTTCCTCTTGAGCTTCTAATTTTGATATCCTCCCTCCAACTTCTCACCCCACCCTACACGCCCTCGGCCTATACTTCTTTCTCATCTTTCCGTGCGGCTCTCCTCTCCATTTCTCCGTAGGAACTGTTACCACCGTTTGGAATGCTTTTGTTCCCCTGGCAAACATTTCTCCCTTTAAGTCAGCTCGAAAGTATCTCCTTGAAATTGCCTTTGGCTACTCCAGACAGATGTAAATTCTTCCTCTTTATCCTGTACGTCTCTTTGTTATTATCACTTTATAACCAATATTTGGTTTAAGAACTTCCTCACGCGAATACAAACTACTTGAAAAATTGTTTACTTCCTTCGATGATGTCTTGTATCATAAGCTTCTTTTATGATATCCTCATAGCCTGGTAGAGATTGTTTCTCAAAAAACGTTTGATGAATGGATAAACAACTGCATGACAGCCAAATAGAACTCTTTACTAGGTGAAAGATAACTTTAAAATATTTTTATTCTGGTACAAAGTTGCAGTTATGTTGGACCAGTAAGTCTAGAGATCTCATGTACAGCATGATGACTTAAATACATTCTTAAATACATTCAGCTTTATTTTAAAAAAATTTTTTTTAATTACAAAAATATTCCTTATGGGATCAGATAAATGCCAGTATCAAAAATGAAAAAAAAAAAAGTTGCCCCTTCAGTTTAAACTTTGTTATAACAAATGTATCATTCCTAAAACTTAGAGACTATTATAAGGCATGCCTGTGGATTTACCATCCAGATATATCAAACCTTGCCATTTTGCCATTTTTGTTCCCAACTTTGTTATTTTGTTTTGGTTTTGTTTTTTAAAGAAATAAAACTGTACAAATGAACTTGAAAATTTATTTGTATTCCCCTCCCTAATTTATTCACTTCAGGATCCTGTCTTGAATCTAGAATTAATTATCCTGTGTTTTTGATTGCTGAAAGTTTGTATATCCATAAACAATAGATGTTTTTGTTATGCATGTTTAAAAGCATCATATAAATGACACTGTGTATGTATTGCTATGAAAATTGTTTTTTTCCTCATCAGTATCCCTGTTGATATATGTAGATTTAGCTATGTGTTTTATCTAGCTTCTTAAAAAATGTTTATTGGCCTATTATATTCCTGCTTCTGTGAATTGAATATTCATATCCTTTGCTCATTTTCTTATTGGGATGTTTGTCTTTGTCTTTTTAAGGAGATCTTTAAATAATCAGGATACTTCGCTTGCCAGTTATTTGCAATGAAAATATTTTTTTTCCAGTCCTGCGCTCATCTTTACCCTTTCTTTATGGAAAGAGAGGGTATCTCTTGTTACACTGAAGTTAAGTTTAAAGTAGTCAGATGTATCAGCCTTCCTTTAAGGTTTGTGCTTTTTGCATTTGGTTTAAAAAAATGAAAATAAACAAAACTCTCTTCTTCTCTGGGACTGTAAAAAATAGTTTCCTTCATTTTCTTTAAAAAGTTTTAGAATTTTGCTTTTTCATGTTTAGAAACTTAATCCACCTGGAAGTTTTTGTTTTGTTTTGCTCTAGGGATCTATATATGGCTAACTAGTTCCCAGTGGTAACCAGTCACTCATTAAATAGTACATTCTTTCCC